CAGTGGTGCCCAGCGACAGGACAAGGGGCAATGGGCACAAAGTGAGGCACAGGAAGTTCCATCTGAACATGAGGAAGAACTTCTTCCCTCTGAGGGTGACGGAGCCCTGGCCCGGGCTGCCCAGGGAGGTTGTGGAGTCTCCTTCTCTGGAGATATTCCAGCCCCGCCTGGACGTGGTGCTGTGCAGCCGGCTCTGGGTGACCCTGCTTGGGCAGGGGGTTGGGCTGGGTGACCCACAGAGGGCCCTGCCAACCCCCGACATTCTGTGATTCTGTGATGACAGCATAAATTAGAAACCGATGGGAGCACCAGACTGCAGACATCTGCTGCGTTAAGATGCTCTTCTGGATGCGTTCACAGTCGTTGCACAAACTATCACCAGGCTTCCACCAAATTCATTGTATCCCTCGCTCTGTACATGGCCGGGCCATCATGAGCCAGCTCAGGTTTCCTCTTCTGCCCAGCGCTGGGGGCAGACCGAGTGTGCTGAAGCTAAAGGAAGAGCTAAGGATGGCAAATCTTGGACAACAACTAATAATCTCTCTTTGCGCCATTTGCTAAGCTGATTGCCTCCTCCCTCTTACAGAGGTCGGACTGCAAGTGTCCAGCATGCCCACCTCCACAGCCCGGCCACGGGGAATGGACACTAAGCTAGTTGTGCACAGCCCCTGCCTGGGGTGCAAAGACAGAATAAAGGGAACTCTAGTAGGAAAGACGACTCGAAAGTCACGTCCATGGCTCCGGAGCAGAGAGGCTCAAACGATAACTTCTTCTCACTTCCACGGTGGGGACCTATGCAACCCCCCGAGTCTACCTGTAAGACCTCAAGTCATACAGAAGTAATAAAACCACGAACCTGGCAATGGTGCGGCATGGTCACGGCTGTCATTGCAACGAGGCAAGATTGCTTCCCTCGAGTACAAAAAATTTCTCTCCACAAATTAAGTTACAGATGCTGTATACATACACACACACATAGGAACAAATTTCATCCCCCGAGAAGACAACCTAAATCGATCTACTCCATGTTTTACTACCCCTTTTTTCACAACTCAGCCTTCTGCAGATAAAAAACTTGCTGGTATGAAAGGTGAATTTTATACTTGCCCTGGGAACACACCTAAAAGCATCACCTCATAAGACTACAGTATTTTTGAGAATATGCAAGCAAAGGGAACCTAATCGCTTATGTTTTTATACCTAAATTCAACGTAAGCACTTACCATCTCCCATTTCATCTGAAAAAGGCAAGCTGAAGACTGCCTCATCGATCATGCGGTTGGGGAGGTTTGTATAGAATCGGCCAACCGTAGTTTCCAGGTTACTCAGCTGGTTTAGGACCATCATGCTCCCCTTGATCACAGGCAGGGCTGTTCGGTCCGGCACCCCGTACTTCACCGAGTTCTGCTCTGCCAGGTCTCGCAGGAAGGCCAGCTCTTTCAAACCCGTCACTCCCTCTGAAACAGAGATGCGAGAAACAGAGGGAAGGAGACAGGAGAAGCTTGCTTTCCACCAAGACTTCCGTACCTTACTCCAAAGTACTGTCAATAAAAGCAAAATGATGCAGATGCTATACTGTAGGACTGGCTATACTATAGGCTTATTTAAGTGGTAAGGCAAAGTGCTGAAAGACTAGTACAGTTTTAGGAAATGTCATTAGCTAGTACAAAATTTAAGAAGACTGCGTCTCACACACTGTTGCACGGCGCAAAAATTCAACATGCTGTTCCCATCACCACTTTAACCAAAGATTTTTTAACGACGACTTCTGTGACCCATAAATCCACAGGACAGCTCTTTGTTCTCCACTGGTGGGTAGTCCACATAAAGGACCAGGAGCATATTACACGCCCTTGGAGATAACAGGCTTTGTTCTTTAGCTTAAACATTACACTTTTACATTTTACATAAGTCCCAGGCTCAATTCCTGCAGACAAATCAAAGACCTTTGTACATATTAGGTCTCAAATGAGTATTTAAATTTACAGTCAAATGATACTTCAGCCTAAGCATTCGTTTCCTTGGCTAGAGTCCGTGTGCAATTTTCAGTAATGCAGCGTACAGCCTTCTTACTGAAAATGCTTTGCTGGAAAAAAGCACAGAATGCCAAAGTACTGTGCGCGTGATCTTCACGTTCAACTTCACTCTGAATTTGGGTCCTAAGTTACCAAAGCCCCTCAGGTTCCATTTGCTGTTACATTCGTGCTCCTTGGCTAGTGACTGACACAGAAGTCACGTACACTCTCACTGTGCTGCATCAGGAAACAGAGGCCGTGTCGGGAAGGTTTACCGTTGCAATAGCTATTAAATTTAATTCACTCTGGTCGCCTCTAAACAATTTAGGCCACAGTACTTTATATCCTGAGCAGCTACACTGTGATATCGAAGCATACAGTGGTAGACAGCTTTATACACCAAAGAGGTAACATCTGGATGCAGCCTCTGGATTACACAGGCCAAAAGCCATTAACAACCTGCTCCCAACAAGGCGTGGAATTACATTTGGATGAGCTTAATAAACTAGCTCTACAAGGAAAGGCAATTTTCATCCACTGGAAATACAGACACACTTCTCACCATTCATAAGCGCGTAAGTGAGAATCATTACTGAGTTATTGAGGAAACTATTTTCTTCGTTGATGACACGTAGGGTAGCTTTTTTATCATCTTCCGAGGAATCTTTTGATGTGATCCCAGCCGAGAGATAAATTATGACCATGTCGGTATCTAAAAAGAATTACATACATAGCAGAAAGCACGTTAGATTTTTTAACTCGGGAAAGTCACGTGGTAAGAGCCCTCATGTCTGCTTGCAGCCACACACTGCCAACAGCCTCATCCGTGACATCCACAGGAACCCACAGTGGATAAACACACCTCGGTCTTACGAGTTGCATCCTCCGTTATTAAACGTCCATTCACAGCATTTCCCAAGCCTCTGCTCGACTCGGTGCCCTCCCAGCAGCACCACGGCTCGTTTCTCCCGAGCAGACCTCCAGGCACCTTCTGGCCTGGCTGCAAGCAGGCAGGAGCGCGCCAGACCGGCGCGCGGCAGGCGCGGCTCTAACTCCACGCAGAGGGCTTAACAAAAGCAAATAAACCTGCACGTTTTGTCTCCTGACCCACTGTTCTTCTCCAGC